ACGCGGGACCGCGAAGTTCTTACCGCGTCTCCACCAGCTTGTGCTTGCAGGTGCCTGAAGTGCTGCGGCGGCACGGTGGACGGAGTATCTCGCTGAGTCCGATCTTCTCCACAGCGACATCCTCCGGGTGCACTCTTACGCTAGTCCGTCATGTACACATCTTGCGCCACTACTTAGGGCCATAAGCTACTAACTCTCCGTAATGCTTCCGCCATAACTGGAGCACGTAGGTCTTGTTATCTTCGTAATCGTTGATGTGCATGGCCGTCCGGCGACTACACTTCGGCAGTGCGCCGGCGTGCTGGCACAATCGGGCTTTGAGCGCCACCAGTTGAGTTCTTACATTCATAGACATGCGTGTATATCCAACCTACTCGCCTTATAGCCTGAATAATGTACCACGTGTACTCGGCACATCTCAATGCAGACGCGAACCTCGCTCAGTGCTATTTTCGGCATACCTATACTACAGCCCGTATCCTCCGACTTTACCAAGATGTTCAAGTTGAAAAGGCATGTCAGTCACGAACGTCACGCACAGTGAATGGAACTGACCACGGAATCTAGATTGATTCGCACCACTGTCAATGCGCGTGGCAAGGATCATTGCAGCCGCGACTGTCAATCCTGGCTCTTGGTGGTCACGTCCACGGACGCCCTTATAACAAGCCCAGACATCCCTGCTTAGCCTGTTGTCATGTCCTCTCTGCCGCCATCTGCTCACCTCACGCCAGTGTCAGGCAGTAGTTATGATGCTACTTATGACCAGACACCCGTCATGCGCGGTCTTCCTCCGGCAGACGCTGGACCTACGTTCCCGGATGCGTCATACTCCATGCAGTTCACCAGCGTGTTCGCCGTTCCTGCGGACGACCGCTTCGTGACTTTTTTCAACGTCCTTTGCGACTCTCATGGGCGCAGTGCTTCCGCCATCTGGTATCTAACGACCTTGGGCAACATGAGCGTATACCTTGGCGCATGTATTGTCAATCAGTACACCAAGGGCACGCAGGCGTATGCGGTCGTGCAGGACTGCATCGTCCGTGACGCTACTCACGTCCTCTTTCGGGTGAAGATCAAGTATTGGGTGACGCCCGAGGGTCTCTCCAAGCCCGTCTGCGATACCTTCGCGTTTCTTCTCGCCCCGGTGGGACTCACGGACGGCGAGTGGTCGAGAGATCTGGGCGACTACATCAGCACGAGTGCGCCCGGATTGCTGATTCATCAGCTACAGGACGCCATTCAGCGCGTCAAGCAGGCCACCGAGGACAGTTCTGTCGTGGGTCTCGTTTGGGAAGACCCCCTCCTGTCGGCTCTCGCCATGACCTATCGTGCAAGCCCAGTCATGAAGTACTTCGCACACGAGCGCGACTTCGCTGTCGCTGTGCATTGTGCGGATCTCGAGCCCGCTGCCGCCGCACGATCGTGAGGCCGAAGAGGTTCGTGAATGACATGAAATGCTTGTGCCATGCTCACAAAAGCAGTTTAGGAAACCATAGCCATGCCCGCCTACGACGAACGCTGGTTCAGTATCTGCTAGTTCCGTCATTGTGCCGAACCTGGGATTACGACGCCGAGCTGCGTTGCCCGATCTGAGTGTATTCATTCCCTAAATATATGCTTCTATGACCAGACACCCTGTACCTGTCGCTACTAGAGAGCATAAGATCCCTTTACCATCACCATCACACGATACTCGCGTGCGTACAACATTCTCTTTCAGATCAATTCAGACGCCGTAATTTCTGTTGCACTTGCCCGTCGTGACTTCTTTGCTGATTGATCGGATATGGAAGTTGATTGAAACGGTGCATGGGACATATAAAGGAAATACGCCATCACCACCTAGCGCCACCAGCTTCACGTCGAAGCCTCATCTCGGTGATGTTACTGTGATCCCGGTATGCCACCGGCCGAGTGACACCAGAGTCGAAGTGCCGATACTCTATTACTGCAGAGGTAATGGTTTTGCTATGCTTGGCACCTGGTGCATTCATGCAGTGGGAATGCTGACAGGTTTCAATGCAGTGTGCAGCAAAAGTTAATCATACATTGATATTGCAGCCCCTAGGAATCGAACCTGGGATGTACCGAAGCACAGGTAGAGTGGATCCAACCTGATTACTGGGCGCTATCTTTCTCAAATACACCTGAAGACAGGGGGTGCGCTACCGTGGGTATCATACAACCCGCACACGCTGCGCAGGACGCAATCTGGCCATAATCAGCTAGCTTTGGTCCGTACACAGCGGTCAAAATGTCAAATGCAATGGTGCACATTCCAGATTGGGAAGGAAAGATTCCTATACTTGTAAGGTTTCAGGATCATCACAAAGTCTATCTCACAGCCCGATTAATGTCCGCCATTACCAATCCCTGCCGGTTGCCAGTGGCGCGGCACATACTTCATTACGTCTATACATGGCTGTCTCATCCTCAAAATGGGCCCGAGTTCAGTACAGATCCCTTCTAAGAATTAAGTATTATGCCGCCGGTGGGGTACAAGTGCCTGTATGATCTCCATTTGTAGGATCATGCGCACTCTCTAGCTTGATGTGCTCTGAAAAAGTGTACTATTTCATATATCCAATGGTACCAAGATGGCCTAGACCTTGAGCATCTACCCCTGTTGAATGGCACGCCTTCCAAGTTCTCAAGTCGACGAACATAGCAGTAACTAGCAGTTGCTGGTAGCTTAGCCATATGACCTTTTTCGAATGCAGCTGCCTAGAAACAAGGTCACATCCTGTGCATTGGCGAATAGATGACACCTCACACGTCATACTGTGACAGATCATGGAAGATGCCGCATTCGTCTCGATTGACCGCACATCGTTGCCTCACCTCGGGCCTCGGCACATCGGCATTCGTGGAGGTCCTCATAAGTGGGCTGCCTCGGGTGAAGGAATCTGTGCATCTTACCTTTCTCACTACCATGGCGACGCCCTTCTATCAACTCGTCCCGAACCGTTCTGTCTGTCATCAGATGTACCTGATCAACCACGTCCTCCAATACGAAGGCTTCGCGGAGTCGGCCCATCTCACCAATTGCACTCGTAACGAGCTGACGGCCGCCTATCGCATCCTGCCAAAGCGCTCGCCTAACGTGGCTGGGATGACCGTCGAGATTCCCTTCACTTACGGCCACATGTTCGAGATCGGCCTGGTAGGGCCGTGCCTCATGAGTGGCAATACGCTCGCCGTGCATGGCTTACGCGTGTCTGCTTGTAACGTGAACGGCAGATTCATTCACTTCGAGCCTGCGTACGAGAAGCTCTTGCTCCTCCCGTCTTCTCAAACCGTCACACAAGTTCTCGAGCCTCGGCCTCAGTTCCCTGTCCTCTCGGATGCCATAGTCCACCACTTGCAGAACTTTGCTCAGGGTATCCTTGGCCAGTTCAGGGGTAGCGATCGCGTGCATGACATCTTTCACGTCAACATTGTACCCTCGTACCCTCATGCAATTCCTGTCATGTCGCCACAGCAGACTCTGCTGAACTATGTCGAGGTCACCCATGCGCGTCTTCGACCTGCCGTCGAGAGTATCATCCAGCAGCGTATGGGAGAAGACGACTTAATGGAGGTCGGGATTGAAGACGCGATGGATAGTGATTTCGATTTGTTCAACGAGACGCTAGTGAATCAGTTCCCGGAGCAGTTTGGGGACGCATCCATGGAAGATATGGTCACGGCGTATATAGGTGAGTAGAAGATACAGGCATCGCTTCGAGACATCGCTCACACGGATGTAGCCTATCGTTATAGACCCACGAGCTCGCTCCCGTTCGTCGGCCACGACGATGTCACGAAGTCATCTGTCGCAGATGCGGACTCGACGGGCAGCGACGGCTATGCCACGGACGCGAGCTCGACGAACAGCGAGACCTCCATCTTCGCGGAGGATGGATCAGGAAAGGAAGACCGTTTTGCTGCCGAAGACGATGGAGCGATGGACGACGACATCTACGAGAACGACAGCTAGGGTGAGTCCGGAACTTCGCGAAGTCTACTCTCACTGATAGTCTTGCCAGCAAACCAAAGACGCACGCTGCCATCGCCCTTACAACACTCATTATAAGCTAGCTTCCAGTCTCTGCTTTCCGTATATCCTTGTCCATATGCCCTGTCGCTTGTCGTATAATCACTTGTATTAATTATTTCCATGCTT